ACAAGGGAATATTATTCAACAGTAAAAATAAATGAAGTGCCAGATGTGGTGGTGCCCACCTGTAATCCTAGCAACTTGGGAAGCTGATCAGGAGGATGGAAAGTTCCAGGCCAGCTTTACCTTAGCAAGGCCCTTAACAACTTAGTGAGACCATGCCTTAAAACCAAAAAATAAAAAGAGCTGGATATGTAGCTCAGTCAGTGGTAAAGCACTCCTGGGTTCAATCCCCAGTCATCCCCCCAAAAAAATCCTATAAAAAGAAATGAGGTATCAATATATGCTACAACATGGATGAACCTTGAAAAAATTACACTAAAGTAAAAGGTCAAATGAATACATTATAAGAGCCTTAACCTAATCAGAACCTTAATCCAGTTGAATGGATTAACTGGGTGGTGACTATAGTCAGTTGTACATGCAGAAAATAATATATGTTGTGTGATTCTGTTTATACAAAATATTCAGAATGGGCAAATCCATACAAAAAGTATATTAGCAAGGCCCTTAACAACTTAGTGAGACCATGCCTTAAAACCATAGTTGTGTAGTTTCCCACCTTAAGATATCCATAAGCTGATTCTAATTTCCCATGTTGCTTTTTTCTCCCCTGAACATTTATCTAATTCTTTTACCCATTCTTTTTCTTCAGCTTTTATAGGATTACGTTCTTACTTCCCAGATTAAAAATACATGAAATCAGGTGCATAGTATTATAATTCTTTGGAAAGGATTATAAATGAAAATGCAAAATGTATCTATTGTACCTGTTGCTTTGCACATTTTGGCTACAAGCAGTTTCTGAGAGTTTGCACTTATTATGTATAACAGGAGAGAATGTTCAAACCAGTAACAATGTTTAAAAAGAGAACATAATTCCATCAATGTCTCCTTCTGTTAAAGTTGCCACTCTTTTTCATCCCTTCGGGCCCATGTCACCTCTCACATGGACTGTTGAAGCAGTCTGATTTCCTCCCTCCCATCTCTCCCTCTTTAGTAACTCATCTTTCATAACCACACAGTTAACATTTCTAAAACACAATATAAAGGAGTGTGAACCAGAGGATAGGAGTTTGGGTCCCAGTCTCAGACAGCCTGGATTCACACCTGAGCTTTGCTGCCAACACTTGATCGGCTTAAGCAAATGATCTAATCTTTCTGTGAATGATTTGTCCCTGAATTTTTGTGAGAATTAAATGAGAGTAGAATATTCAGTGCCTAGTCCAAATGATGGACTGATTGATGGGAGCAGAGTAAACTTGGGAGAATGAGATTTTAGGAGACTAGTAGCAAAGGTAGTGCATTATTTATGTTAGATTTGAGATGCCAATCAGATACTCAAGTCAGTCACCATCTGCTCCTATTTTTATTATTACACTTAATAGTCAAATATTGTCATTTCCTCACTTCTGCCTAATCAAATCCAAACTCCCTGGTTATCATGCAAGAAACTTTGAAATCTGACCTCAACCTATCTTCTCCCAGTTCACAGCCTTTTCTGAATACATCAGGCAAATCTGTGGCTCCAGGTTTTTGATCAAGTTCTTTCCTCTGCTGCTCCATATTTTCCATTTTAAAATTTCCACTCTTCATTCAGGAAAGCCATGTGAAAAAATAGGAAGTTTTTTTTTTTTTTTCTGAGCTCCTTTTTCTTGTCTCCCAACAGCACTTTAGGGGTTTGAGAGAAGTTGGCTAAAGAGAATTATTTGAAAGGTAAAGCAGAAAGAACATCCCAGAAGACTGGTTAAGAAAAATAAGGAATAAAGTAGAAGAAAATAATGACTTCCAAGCTTGAGTCAGGAACAACAGGACATGTGACATGTCCATTTAATGATACGAGGAAACTTGGGAGAATGTGGTTTTAGGAGACTAGTTATAAAGGTAGTGCATTATTTATGTTAGATTTGAGATGCCAATCAGATACTCAAGTGAATTTGGTAAATAAACAGTGGAATCTACATACAAGTGTGGGGTTTGAAGAATGCTTAGAGCTAATGATATAAAACTGGGAGTCAGAGGAGGGGCCAAGAGATATGCTCTGGAGAAGCCTGGGGAACTCCAACATTTAAAGATCAACCAAAGGAAAAGA